GTTGTTTAGGGTTTAGGGCTCAGGGTTTAAGGGTTGAGGGCCCAGAGAGTCCTATACTTAGAGGGTCATGGGACGTAATAATCGGGGTTATAATTAAGGTAACTATACGTATAACCCCTTTTAAGGGACTTAAAACCTTACTTACTAGGTCCCATGACCCTCCAAGTACTACCGATATGGAACCAGGTGGGCGAAGCCATGATACTGATGGTCTTTTTGGAGCCTAATTAATTACTTCCAATAAGAATAGTGTGGAAGCATCCCGAACCCCGTGCTTCCACCAATAATAAGGTCCCTGGAAGCAAACTTGCAGGATCATGAGACTTAGTAAGTAGGGTTATAATTAGGGGAACTATACTTATAACCCCAATTAAGGGACTTATAACCTTACTTACTAAGTCCCATGATCCTCCAGGTAGGTCAACGGAACCCTTTCTTGAACCTAAACCCCAAACCCTAAGCCCTCAACCCCTGCCCTCAGTTCTAAACCCAAATAAATCCCAAACCTTCAACCCCCACCCCTAAGTTCTAGACCCAAAACCCTAAACCTAAAGCCTAAATCCTAAACCCTAAACCCTAAACCCTAAATCCTAAACCCTCAACCCTAAACTCCAAACCCTACATCCATGGACCCAAAAGCTTACCCGAGGTGCCCTGCATCGTCGGAGCGCTGCCCCGCAAGCAACTCGTCCTTCAGCGGCTCTTCCTGGGTCTAGGCCGTTTAGGGCTTCGGGTTTACTTAAAGGATCATGGGACTTAGCAAGTAGGATATAACTTAGGTAACTATACATATAACCCTAATTAAAGGGCTTATAACCTTATTTACTAAGTCCCATGATCCTCCAAGTAGGGGTCTACCTGTAGGGGTCGAGGGCTTGGGATTTAGGGTTTGAGGGTGTAGGGGTAGGTTTCTTGGGGGAATGCGCGATTTAGGGTTTAGGGTCTGAGCCCAACCCTTGGGCTCCAGCTCTAGTTACCTAAACCAGTGGTTAACCAAGCTTTCATGTTTCGTTTAGGGTTTAGGGTTTAGGGTTTAGGGTTTAGGGTTTAGGGTTAAAACCTTTAAAAAAATGGGTCTTGCGGGGATCAGGGTAGCTATTGCTGGCGCAAGAACCGTGAGGGGCAATGAACAATTGAGGCTTTGTGCCCCAAAATTTGGGGTCAACAAAAGTCTCTGCACAGGAAATGTTATCTTCACAGGAAACGAGGGCATGACCCGAGATAGTAGCAACTTTTAGGAAAAAGTTGCCGTGAATAAAACCCTACACTACGAGCACTGCTTGATTCTAAGCAACGCACAGATTAAGATTAACCCTAAACCCTAAACCCTAAACCCTTATGTTGCTCGTTTTCTTTCTGGTATCCCGCATCAACTCCCGGATAATGCACTCACCGACGTTCCTTCTAAGGACCTTAGGAGTCCTAAATTGAGTTTAGGGTTTAGGGTTTAGGGGTTTAGGGTTTAGGGGTTTAGAGGTTTTAGGGGTTTAGGGGTTTAGGGTTTAGGGTTTAGGGTTTAGGGGTTTAGGGTTTAGGGGTTTAGAGGTTTTAGTGGTTTAGGGGTTTAGGGTTTAGGGTTTAGGGCTTCGGGTCCTAAATATAATAACCGACATCACAGATTTACTCTACTTGTAGAGCGCCGGTCCCTTTTCACAACTGAGCTTGTATAGTCATCCGTGCGAACCCGTATAAAGCCGCAATAAAATCTGAATACCATCTTTCTAACAGACGATTAAACCCTGATAAATCCCTCGTGCGCACAAAAGCACAAATCGGTTAAGACTCCATGAAGCCTTCAAAGAAGCCAAGTAACCATCCCATAAAGGGGTATTGCTGCTACCCAAACTAAACCCTAAATCCCTGAGGAACCCTTAGATGAAACCCTAAACTGCTCTTCAAGGAAGTCCCAAATTACCCTCAAAGGACACGCCTAACTACACGTACAGAAGCCCTAAACTACCCAATTGCCCTCAAACGACGCAGTAGATTAGATTGCCCTTAAAGGAAGCCCTGAATTAACCTCCTACCCTAAACCCTAAATCCTAAACCCTAAACCCTCCTTGTTTTGTTGCAGTATAGCGGCGATCCAGCGAGCAAAGCGATCTTGGACGCCGGCCTTCCAAGGCCAAGACTCCGTTCTTGTACGGCTCTATATCGACTATATAGAGGTTAAGAATTGGGTTTAAGGTTTAAGGTTTAGGGTTTAGGGTTTAGGGTTGAGGGTTTAGGGTTTCGGGTTGAGGGTTTAGGGTTTAGGGTTAAGGGTTAGTATTTGGGTCTACGAATCGGTTGTTGTACTGTCCTAGAAGGATTTCATACGGCTTCTACACATGTTACTACAAGCGATCTGCAGGGGTTGCCATGGAAGCTCTATAAGGGCTACTATAAACTTTCTCATAGGATGCCAGAAAACTTCGGGATTTGGGGCTTCTCGTAGCGTCTCTGAAGGATATACCGTGTATGGGCTCGGTGAAAATTGTGTAAGCTAGGGGCTTCGTAGCTCTATAAAGCACTCAGCATACAAGGCTTACCTGCGAGTCGAACAATGTGCCTGTTGAGGGTTTAGGGTTTCGGGCTTTAAAGCTTAGGGTTTAGGGTTTAGGCTTTAGGCTTTAGGGTTTAGGCTTTAGGCTTTAGGGTTTAGGGTTTAGGGTTAGGTTTACTTATGGCATCATAACCGAATGGG